TTTGTGTTTACGAATCATTTCATGGACATGAATCATCGATCCTACATCCAAAGCCATAATATGTGCCCGTTTCAGCTCTTCCAACTTTCTACCGTCCTGAAAAAACGGTGACTGCGTTGGCAAGAGCAGGTGCTGGGACCTTCACCAGGCGACATTACTCCTAGTACACTGAACGCAACCGCGATCTGATCCCTGGATGCAACAGAAAAAGACGGACAAGTTAATGCCTGCTGGGACACCGTCAGAGCTGAAGTTGAAGTCTTCTCTAGGGGGGGGGCAATGTACTGGCAAAAACGGTGCAAGAAGGACTGGCTGAACTCGGAGGGGGACACTAAGCGCGGTCGACAGTGGTGGAGCACAACGATTCAGGACATCATTGAAGCCCGTCGCACCAGTGACAGAGACAAGCGTAACAACAACACAACGATTGTGCACATGTTTTCTAACATATCGAACGGCAGATCAGAATCCCTCATTGCGGATTTCCAATCAGAACAATTTTCTCCTCGAAGGATTGGCATTGTGCTTCTGACCTAAGGACAAGGCGAAGCCTCGTTTCCCCGTCTTCCGAAGCTGAACGTTATATTCGTTTGAAAAGTGACTAATTTGGACAGATAAGCTTACGTGTGGGTAAGAAGTTAAATCACCACAGAAAAGCGCCAAAAGTGGAGAACTGCTACGCCTGTATAAAAGAAGAGTCCAATGGTTGGAGGCTTAAAATAGGTCAAAAATCTACGCACTGACAAACGCGTCTGGTTTTTTGAAAAGTGACGCTAAAGTCAAACAAACTGGTTGATTAGAGCGAAACGAAATTAGGCAAAACCACGGTTGTCACTGCGATGGATCGTGAGGCTTAGGGCGTTTTTGTTCGAGTCGCAGTGATAACTAACCATGAATAGAACACTCGATTTAAAAGAAGAAACATAACCCGATGTTCCGAGGTAAATATAACAGTACCTTTGTAATTCCGCCCGTAATTATGTAAATGTCAATTTCTTACGTCGAATTTAACGTGTCTAAGCGCACCGTCGCACTGCTTCTAGTCGTTTAGGGGGACCATTTAAGCTGGTCACAGCTCCGTCGCATTTGAACGCCTGCAGGGCACTGAATGTAGGAACGCATCTCTAAGTTAGGCTGAACAAAGCCGTGTTCGAACACCACCAAAATTTAGCATTATCCATAAGCAAATATGCAGAGAAACATAACACCAGTTTTTAAGGTAGCTACTATATATCAACTTTCCAGTTCCGCCAGTAGCGATAACGTTTCACTTTCGGATACCCGATTTAAATGCTATGTTTAATGCTTGTCCAACTTTCACTCACCTGGTACAGCTGTTCTTGTGAAATTTTGACAGTGTTCGAATGAACCGTCAAATCAAGTACATGGCAGGTCATTGATTCATCTCAGCGATGGCCCACTTATACAAAGTCGCCACCCGTGGTCAAATATATGCCAGTGCTTCTCCCAGATCGCTTTGAAATGGCAGCGAGATACTGATGACAGAAACATTGTAAAGATAAAGCCGGCTTCTGACCGGAGGTCCCCGCTTGGGCCAAATTTTCATTTTTTTTTGCAATCTTCACAAAGCCAGACCGACGATTCAGGCTGCAGTGGTATGCCGTGCCGTGTACATCGACTTTAAAGCCGTATCAGTTTAGTAAATCGTTCAGCGAATAGAAAAAGTTTGTTATGTAATATCTGAACGCATCGTTTTCCGTGTGCAAGAATTGTCTGAAATAGCCATATGGCGATTAAAGTCGTAACAGAGCTACAGCAGTGGTTCCGTACTAACGGCGAAATGCGCAAAGTAAATGTACTTTGGCCCTTGATATTCAAAATTCATTCCAAATGTCTCTTTCGAAATAGTGCTCATCTGTACAGAAACGAAAACCTCGTTATGGAACGGAGGAACAATTAAAACTGCTTGGCTATCTATCTTTCTATTTTACTGATCAGATGATACTGTCCCAGTGGGTGATACGGGAAATGGACTTCACTGCTCGACATTTTCTTTAGGCAACACAGATGCGAGGGTCAGCTCCTTCCTTAATGTCAAGAAGTAAACCGTCACGAGGAACCACCCAGACACAACAGATTTGCATGTACAGTGGAGAAGAGAAATGGTAGGAAAAGTCAGGCAGTCTCATTAACCTCCATACCATCATCCCCAAAAGCGATATCACGTAATCATAGTAACATAAAAGAACCATTCATGGCTGCTGGGCTTGGGTACACAGTCCATAATTTGGGATGATAAGAGAAATGTGTTGCCACACAGTCCCCTTCACCCATTCCCGATCTCTCTCTCGGTCAGGTCAGATCAGAATTGCCAAACGATGCACAGACGCTTGTTCTGACAGAAGAACAGGGATAACGGTTGAACAGCGTACAACAGCGAGGGCCTCGACATAATCGTATCTAAATAGTAAGACTATGAGATGAATACTTCGCCGACAGAGCTGTCTTTTACAGGATTGGAGATAAAGAAAGAAAAATTGAGAACTGGAGGACATGAGTTTGTCATCGCAACCTGTCGATTTCCTAGAGGCCAGAAACACTGCAGACATCAACTGCCAGTTATAGACATGGAACTGAAGAGTTCATTAAATTGCGCTATTTTAAGGAAAATGCCTAAATATTTGCGTCATGTTGTTCAGTATGAACTGCTGCAGTGATAACAACTGACTGCTAGTCTGACTACGAAAGAAACGGAATTTCCAGTCAACTCTAGGCGGCGTCAGACCTCCTGTGATGACCTCATATTTGCGTCCATTGAAACCGGACGTTGTCGATCAGCTGCTGGGGTCCCGTTGCCTCTGGAGTAAAAAAGTTCGAGCCAGTCGAACTGCTTAGCGAAATCTGCGGATTTCATCAGCATAATAGCTACTAAGTGATGAATTATTAACTTTCTCAACTACATTCCCTAAAGTTGAAAAGTGATGCACGGAGGTTTATAACTTGAGCATATCAGGTATGCAGCTGTTTTTAAATGCAGCTAAATCGTGAGCAGAAAATGCTAATTCAAACTGTAACGACGACTCAAGAAAGATGGCTGTATGAAGATTTAATCAAGACCAACAAGCTATTATTTCTGTATGCTGTTCACGGCATTTCAGCATGTTGCACCCATTGACCTAATGCAATCCGATCGCCAAAACTGCTGCCACTTCGGGGTCAAGATCAGAGGCATTTACCTGTAGTGTAGCGGCCAGTTCACCCACACGTAGTCGCTCTGGCCTGCATCATCAAATACTGGTTCTCGTCTGGTATCATTGACGTGGACGCCATTATTAAATTTGCTGTCGCTGTTGTTGTTGTTGTCGCAGCTACTAAATTTACAAACAGCGAACAGTGCACTACAGGGTTGTTTTCTTCTTGACCTATCAACAACTGGTTGGGCTGACAGCCGGTAGCTCCACTTGTCATCCGAGAGGCATTTTTTCACTTTGAACATGTCACAGAACAGCTTGTCAAAACAGCAGTATGCTTCTCTCGACTGCAAAACAAGACAGCTGGGTTCGTACCCAGAAGATCGACACAGAGCTGTGTGGCAGTCACTGAACGGGGGTACAGGTTTTGACTAAATGACTCCTCCACTAGCGTCCATTTTCGTAAGGAAGACGTTTCGCTTCCTGTGAAACTGAACCGGTGTCCAAAGCAAGAAGACTTTACAACAGTCGATATACGAGATCGAATTGTACGAGGACGGAAATGAGATGGGAGCATTCCCTTAAAAAAGCCATGATGGCATTCGTGCATGCCAAAGGCACCATGTTGTCCCTGCTCCGAACGGAGAATCACTATGAACAACTACCAAATTTTTAAATGATTGGACTTCACGATGGAAGTAAATCCGAGTTGCTAAATGGAACACCACCAGCATCATGTACAGTCGAAGTACTGGACGACATTGTCTACAGTATACCAAAGAACACATGCGCGCCGTATTCACGTGCGTTTCGGAAGGTGCCTCTACTGTTCTAAATGGCTAACGCTACATTCCGTAACTCAGTCTATAACGAGGACAGTGAGGTTAGACACGGGCAGGTTATGCCGAAGCGCCGTGTGTGTGTCGACCGCGTTGCAGTAACACATGCCAAAACCGAGAAACGGACGAGCAACAGTGGGTGAAACGAACGCATAGTAGAGTACGGTCGATCGTCGATCGGCGTCTCATGAATCTGATGGTCAGTGAAAGCCGGTACGCCCAAGAGCACCATTCCCGCCTTCAGTCATAGGTGGCGCACCGTGCTTTGCTGCCAATGCTGATTGACAGCTATCCACTGGTAGTGCTACGACGGCGCGCGTCCACCACTTATGAGCATGTGTGCGCCACCAAGCGCCAGAAACAGCTGAAAAATGCACCGCGTCCAACGATCCCGATGCAACTCGTCGTTAATAGTTAATACTCCAGCGGAGCGAAACTTAATTTGACAGAAGCATCACCATAAAAGCGTGTTCAATAGGCAAATTGAAAATACGCAGACTCTTCTACAATCGTAACTCACTTCGGAGATTTCAAGTCTCGATGGATGATCTTCTGTTGATGTAAGTAGTTCATGCCGCTCGCAATCTGCTTCGCCCAGTCGATCAGCAGCTTCGGGCCGACGGCTCTGCCACTGCGTAACACTTCGAACAGTTGCCCTTGAGAACAGTATTCCATAATGATACAGTAGCACGGCGCCTGAGTGCACACGCCTCTGAAATATGAACAATCTATAGGATTTCTATTGCAACGGACGACGAATTTCTAGCTGCTCCTGACTGCCTGTCTTACCCCTGACAATCCTCTGTCGACTGTTACTGCCACGTGTTTGCAGAACCATCGAATGAATTAATTACACAGGCACTTACATCAACCGTCAGGCGAAAATGCGGTTTGTAAATTTTACCAGCAGAAATATTATTTCGACTACTGTGGAAACTGAAATGTCAGAAAGGTATTTTGGGCGTGGTGTAAACAGTATGCGAAAATGTTTAAACCGTATTCAAACGTTTAATGTCAGGATTATGCTGCGCGTTGTCATGAACCCAGTCCTCAGTGGTGCCATCTGCGTTTAATGCCAGTTTAGTCAATAACATGCGCGATGTCGCAGCACCATTCCATCTATTTCAACATGTGAGACTGACCAGAGTCGCCACTTATCCAACTTGTTAGTGAATTATTGCTCTACAGTGAGGAAGGACGATATAAAGTTGACTTATAAATGCATAACGAAATAATACTGTTGCCTAAGTTACGGTGATTACAGATATCGCAGATGGCATTAAATGCTGAAACTTGAAATAGAGCTCAAATTACTTAAATCTTTTAATTCATGTGCAAAGCTAGTTTTTTGGTTTCGGTGAAGTGCCGAAATTTTTCGTTCGGATTAATTTGCTGGCTGCTGATCATCTCTGCGTTCATCACCGCTAGTCTGTACCCATCTCCATTTGCCCGTCTTTCTTACATACCTGATTTTTTTTGTATTTCAATTACCGCCACTCACCATGATGGTTCTGTTACATAAAAACCGACATGAAAACTATCATATGACTCGAAGGAATCAGACTAATTAAATGATTATACTTTCAGACTGTGATGAGCGCCTTTTCATTGAATGCATTCATCAGTATTGAGAAGATATATTCGCCAACTGATCAGAAAGATAGATGTCATTAATGCGCAATTCGTAGCGAGAAGGGAGAAATGTAAATATAACGTCAGTTAAAACGGCCAGTGGGAACACGAACGAAGAAAAGTTAAAAAAGAGAATGATCATGAAAAAGAAGGCGATAGAGAAAAAGTAGAAGAGAAAAAACGAAAGAAGATGATGAGGAAAAAGTATTGGATGAGGAGGAAAAGATGCAGAAGAAGAACGGTAAGTGAAAACCAAAAATTACGTTTACTCGTCTGTGCAGCAAGGTTGTTATCATTACAGTATGGTGTTTTTATGCCAAGGAGTTAAACAGAAAGGCGAAATTGCATAGAGGGAAAAAGAATAAAAGCAAAAAGCGAGCACGAAACTACGGAAAAAGAATATCACTTTCCTGTTACAGAATACCTCAATGAGCATAACGGTTCAATAACGTATTTGTGTTGTATTTTATGAATACATGAATAAAGCATATGCGCAAATTCGGTGCTTCGGCGGATCACCGTTCAAGGAAAACACACGTCGATTGTTAAAAATGCCAGGGAATCGACCGTAGACATTAGACATTATTTGTATTGCGCTGCCAAATGCAGAGGGCAACCACAAAAGCTCATTCGCCTTCGTTGTGCATTTTAATGATTTTTAGAAACTGTTTTAAATTTTGACATTTAAAAGCCTTCTATAACGTTAGTGCCATATTTTCTTTAGCCTTACAGTTACATTCGGAGTGTGTTTTTAACTTCTCGCCTGGTTCCGCAGATCGGCCGTATCAGTTGTAAGATTTAGCATTTTTCAACGTCTCTTGATGATCACCGTTCGCAAATGATACGGTGGCGAACTCCTTACGAGGCGAGGTCGCGTCGCTCGGCGACGGCGAAGAATCTCGCACCGTTTAGGGTTGCGAAATCATGTGCACTTTTCATAAAAACGTTATAAACGCTCGCGTAGC